GAACCCGATTCCGAAAAAAATCTCGCATCTACTCCGGTTAAGGAGAATGAGGTAGTCGAAGAGAAAGAAAAGCCTCAGACTGAATCCCTGCAGCCCATATCCATTGAGATTCCCCCTCAGTTGGACTCCGAAACGCCACGAATTAGAACTCGTGCCACCAGTCGTCTAGAGAGTCCATTGGATGCTCAAAAGAGCAGCCCAGAAGCGCAACAGACAACTGTAGTTGTTACAACTACAGCGACGACGGCAGCAACGACAGCGACAGTGTCGAACAGGAGCGCAACGAGGGTCGCGTCGATCCCGAGTCCCCGATTAGGAACGACGGCTCCAATGCATAACAATAACAATAATAGCAGCAGCCTGAAGCGTCGTCGGCAGGAGTCGGAGTGCGGCAGCAGCAATGACGGAGCTAACGATGCCAACCTTCTCATTGAGACTAGCAACAGCAACAAGCGAACGCGTATCAGCAGTGGCAGCAGCAGTGGCAACAACAACAACAATAATACCACTGAGGCCACAGAGTCAACGGGGCTAAATTACATGCACTCCAAAAAGATTGAGATCGAATCTTCTGACTCGGACGAGCCCCTAATTGAGGTTGCGGGCAAGGTGCGCAATTCGAAGGCTCAGGTTGAGGAAAAGCACGTGACGCGACGAAACGCCCAGCAACAGCAGCAGCAACAACAACAAAGTAAGTATATTAAAAATGCGAATATGCTTGATACTATTTTGATTAGTTATTCCTGGTCTTTTTTCAGAAGCTCCCAGTTTGAGTACAACACCCACGCAGGCACAGAAGACTGGCAAATCACAGCCCATTGCAGCAAACAACAATAATAATAATAGTGCGACCTTACAGACGGTCAGCAATGCAGCAATAGCGGGGACATCAAACAACAGCAATAGTAGCACAGGTGTAGTGCATGCAACACGTGGTGCAACAGCAGCTGCTGCCACCAGTGGCACCAGCAACAACAGCATTTCTAATAACAACAACATTGTGAACGCCAATTCGCCAACAGACGAAAAGATTGGAACGAGGAGGAGCGTAAGGGCGAGCGCTGCAGCTAACAAGATAATATATAGTCGCAGCAATGCGGCCGCGGCTGCTGCTGCAGCTGCTGAGCATAAAAGTACTCCAAGTAAATCAGCAGCCGGTGCTGCCGGAGTAGTCAGTGGTGTCAACAGCTCAAATGCGAACGCCAGTTCCGAGAGTGTGGCTGAAGCGCGGCGAAAGACGCGCAGTGCAGGTAAGTTGGCAGCATTATCGGTTGGTAGTGAAAAAGTGTTATAAATTGAAAACTTTTAGTTATTGGTGAAGCTACGTTGACCGAGGGACGAAGAAGAAGGACTTCGCGTGATTACAAGTGACCAGAGTTTTGCGCCTTGGCTAAGGGAATTAACCATACGAGCGATGCTGAAGAGGATGAATTAATTAAGCTGATCGAACTGGATACTGCGGATCGGTTTGATATCAGCACCAGTTTCCCATTGGCCCAGGCGCAAAACGTCGAAGGAGACGTCGACCAGAATAGCAGCGTTAATATCGATATTGGAGATATAAAAGAGGATATCGTGAATATTTCTTCAGCGCTGACACTCATCGGCACAACAGATAAAAGCGCCCTTGATTACCTGGAAGAGGAGGGAGATGAGGCCGATGATTTGCATCTAATGACGTACCAGAACAGCAGCGAAGTGGACGCTGAAGTAAATGTGGATGCTGTTAGCCTGCTCATGCCAGATCTGAGCAATGCCACAGCCCTAGACTGTGGCAATTTTGTCGACTACGATGAATTCAACATGTGTCTGAACAACATTCTGAGCGAGAAGGATGATCAGGAGCTCATGGACTGCGATGCAAGCGGAAGTGCAAATATGAATAGTGGCAGACACCATCAGCAGCAACAACAGCAGCAATGGTGTGACGTCAACGAAGTGCTCAACATTGTGCCGCTGCGATTTCAGGAGTTTGCAACAGAGGCAAGCATCACAGGCGATGATCGGTCCGCGAGCAGTAGCTCCTCGCAAATGGCATAACGGCGTCGCATTGATAACATTATTCAAAATGCTTATTTCTGCAGTTATGTAAATAGCTTAAACTCACATACAAACAAACAAAACAGACAAATGCCAATTTTTTCGTTTGTACAAAGGTTTTGTAAAGGTTTTTTCCTTGAATATTTTTGTATAGTTAGTTGTATTCAAAGGTTGCAATAATGTTGCATCTCAAAACGAGCAGCATCACACTCACACATATATATATATATATATATACCCATGTTTCACTTAATTTTTAATTCGAAACTTCTCTCTGCTTATGTAGCGCTACTTTCCATAAATCCAAATCCAAATATCCCTTGGTTAATAGATTTACTAGTCAAGTGAAACAGACAATTTGTGTAAAGATCAAAAACATTTATTGAACAAATTAGTTGAAAATTATACACATGCAAAATTTATACTAAAATAATAAAATAAACAAAAAAAAAAACACAAAAATAGTAGTTATCCCCGACACCTTGCTCTATGACGCATGCGTATTTTCATTTTCTCATCTAAGCTATTGTATATACTTTAGACCTAATTCAAATAGATGCAACACAGTTAAACACATTTTTTAGAAAAGGTAAAACGCAAAAATAAACTAATGTTTATCTTTATGATCCAAGCTTAACATAGAAAAGAAACAAACAAAACAGACCATACTTTTATAATTTTATTTTATTATATACCTAATTATATGCACACGAAATACAGATATAGTCTCTATAGTTTTATATGCATACGTTTGCGTTGTTTCGAAAAATTTGTTTTTTAGTTTTAAATGCTTTGTTGTAAGTCATATACATAATATTAAACAAAAACTCCTCTACCAATACATATGCACATATAAACCTCTGCAATAAGTTAGTCAAGGAAAAACACGAAAAAAAATACGTGTATACCAGAGAGAAATATATAAAAAGTGTTTGTAGTTTTGCAAAGCGAATAAAAATATGTATATACTTATATACAAAAAGAAGATTTAAAAAACGTATATAAAGTTATATATTTTGCATACACAAAACATGAACAAAAGAGAAAAAAATATAAGAAAATAAAACGAATGCAAAAGTTGTATTGTATATAAAGCAGGCTCTATTTTTGCTAAATGTTATTTAAACAAATAGGGGAAAACAAAGATGCATAGCAGAAGCAAAGCGCTAAACAAACACATTAAATAAATACAAATAATAAATATTTCTTTAAACGCATACATATATATTGTTCAATATTATTATCTTATGTGTATTGTATGATTGCTAATTAAGTCTTTTGATACTTTGTACATGTTTAATTTAATGAAAGATTGAAAAGAAAACTTATGTAAAACCACGACCCCTAGAATAACATGCATATATAGTACCGATATATGTATATATTATATCTCTGAAAAATATATATAAAGCAAATTCGTTTATGCATACAAAACCTCATTACAAAAAAAAAAAAAAAAAAAAAAAAAAGGAGAAATAAAACCATGGATGTCAACAATTTTAAGCATATTTAGTAAAGTTTTCACATGTTTCCCCACACAAATTTCACAAATATAAAAATAAAACTAAAATTTATTGCAATAAACAAATGCTAATGGCAAAATTGTATAAACATAATTAATTCTTATATTGCCAATACCAATAAACACAAATTCATGCAACAAAGACATAATACACACACACAACCATAAAAAGAATACAAAAAAATAAATAAAAATATTAAAAAGCAAATGCATTCAACACAAGATGAAGAACAACAAAAATAAAAACGAAAGTGTCTTAAAACGTAGTATTAGAAGTTTATTATTAATAATTTGTTTGTACTTTAACTTTAAAGTAAAAAATTATTTATAGAAAAAAAAAGAAAATACAAAGATTTAATATACACAAAAATTAAAAAAAAAAAACCTTAGTGTATCATTTATTTAGGATTTACTTATTCAATTCCAAAGATTATATATTTTATTACGGGCGAACATGAATTGAACTGATACTAAGAGACAAAATTAACCCCAGTACGTAATGTTTCTCCCACATTAAGGAAATTAGTCATTTTAATTGGATTATTTTATTTTTATTAAATAGAGGACAGCAAGAATATTGTTTTAAATTTTAGTTGCTTACAATATTTATGGTTTCTTTTTTCAAATAATATAAGCTGAGAACTTACTAGACAACAATTGGACTATACTACATATACCAACTTCTTGTTGCGAAATTTCTATTAAAAAGTGGAATTGGCCTAATGGAAAGAATATTCCGTTAAAACAGACTTAACAAAATATGAAGAGAGAGATAGAGGTAGAGAACAAGAAAAAGGAATGGAAGAGAGAGAGAGAGAGACACAGTTGTGGGAAAAGTATGTACATTCAACAGATGAAAACTTGGGTCCTAAATAATGTACATAGAATATACCCGAATTGCAAACGTCTAAGAACGTTGTTTCCACAGTCAGTTCAATTTTAAGACATTTTACAACGCATTTTAATTTAGCTTTGATAATAAAAACTGGTTTGAGTATGAAGAAATGTGTACAATTGGAATTTAATTATTTATTCAAAATAAATTGTTTCTTTTGGTACTTTACCCGAAATTTCTCGAAGTTATAGAAAAGAGCAGGCTTCAGATGAAATCGTTTCAGAGAGCCAACGCTTCTGAAATATTATATATAGATTATATATAGATATAGATACAAAGAGATGTCCATTTCTCAAAAATACTAAATTTCCTATTAAAATAGTATTGATATTAAGTAAATTAAAATGATGGAAAACCTAACTCGAGCTGAGTTAAGTTGAGTTGAGTTGCTGTTGTCGGCAGGCATCACGAGTTGCTTCCACAGCTGCTCTCACGGCGCCTGCGCAGGCAGCCGCAACGGCAACGGCAATGCCATAGGCCGTGCTCTGAAGTGGCATAGGCAGCCAGCAAAGGGCAGCAAAGGCCAGCGGACAGGAGAGGACGAAACAGTTGAGTGTGAGTTGCCGTCAGGAGCAGCACGGCAAAGCTGTCCGGCGTAGCTGACATAGCAGAACGCAATAAATTAAGAAACCTCGCATAGGTGAGCGCATTAAGCAGCAAGTGGTGTACGCTCGCGAAGCTTCACTGTAAACGTGCTCCCCAGACGCGAGTAAAACAAAGGTATATATACATATATAGGCCATCAAATACATATTTCAATTTATGCATTTGAGATATCCGCGAAAAAGTTGAAATTCGCATAAAAATATTTCTTAAGTACTGTGAAAATAACAGGAGTAAAAGCGTTAAGAGTTTGCAGCTTTATTGAAGCTCTGCCCAAAAACTTGACAAACTTGCTAAAGCAACAAATATTTATGTATATAGGATATATATTTCTCGGTATATTCAGTATAAGCTATGCTGCCTAGTGTAGTGTTTGTTTTAAAGGACAAGTCGGATAATAACCAAAACAAAAGCAAATGTTGACACTCATGGATGACGTCCTACTTTTCATATGTACTATGTATATATATGTATAAGTGTGTGCGTGTGTGCGTGTGTGTATTGGCGAATGTTTGCTCTATGACGTAGTTGGGGATGGTGGGTTAGTGGGTTAATGGTTTGGGTGGTATGCCGCCCCCACTGCTACAGGCCGGTCGACTTTTATGGCACATTAACAACTCTGAGTATACAGAGTTATTTACAACAAAAATGCTCAAATAACTATATTAGTACATATCTTAGGCATAGTTCAGCTTATGTTGCTATGAATGTAGTCTGAGCTGCTAGTATTTCAATACATTTAAGTGCGTCAAGAAAGAAACTTTAATTGATTTTTAAAGTCAAGTTGGAAATATTTAAGGAAATTCTATTTACAAGTAGTATCTTATAAGAAAGTGTTTCAGATTTGACTTAAATATTAAATCTTTGTTAATCAACATACACTTTAACAAAATTAATAATGACAGAACTTGTTGATATGTAAAACAAGCCCTAAGAGAAGCGAATCCTTTTGAACAAGCGGACCCACAAAAATAATGAAATAAAATAATTTTTTACTTAAATAGAGCTTAAACTTCTCAAACAAACTTATTAGATGCTTATATAATTTTTGAGGTAATAAAGTATAGGTACTTTTTTAGTAGAAATTACTTTATTAAATAATTTTAGAAAATTCTATGTATATGGTTCTGAAGAATCAGAAAGAATATTTAACACTACTTACAAGCCCCTTTAATCTGGATCCATAAAAATAAAATAAACTTGTAACACAAGTCGATTAATATAATAAATAATAGATATAACTAGGTCGCTTTATATAATATAAGAGATATGAATAATAATGTTAACTTTAACTCACCCGGAATTTTCCGCCTTCATAGCCCCATCCGTGACCCGTAACATGTAGTGGCTGCCGTGTGGTGGCTAGCAGAAGAGGGATCTGGACTCCACGAAAAATGCACATCCGCCTGTGGTCGGGACGACGCCTGCACACGTACCTGAAGATAGGCACCTTTGTGTTGGTGGGCATCTGTTACTTTGCCTTTCTGTTCCGCGAATCGCTCAATGCGTTCGAGCATCGGGAGCGCGCTACAACCGCCGAGCTGGAGGCAGCCGAGGCATATGCCGAGCCGTCAAAGCAGCAGCTGAAGCTCAAGCGCCAACAGCTCCATCGGCAACGTGTGCTCGCCCGTCTCAGGGCTAGCCAGCAGGCGAATCGCAGCGCTGCATTGGCCGAGGAGGCGCAAAACGCCGTCTCGGCAAGCACCTTGAATCCCGTCTACGAGTACTCCGAGGAGCTGCACAGCCGTACGGAGCATGAACTGAAGCTGCGACGCGATCACTTGGCGACTGTTTGCGACCGATACAAGCTTCAAGAAAAGTACCCACCGAACCCATGGGAGTTCTTCATCTCGCCCGGCCATAATAATCTGGTGTGGTGCAATGTCTTTAAGGCAGCCAGCAGCACGTGGATGTACTACTTCAACATACTGGGTAAGTAAGACCGGTAGAAGAGAAGGTAGAGAAGAGAAAAGACAAAGAGAGAGGAGATAATAGAGAATAGAGATAGAGATAAGATATGAGATATGAGATACAAGATACCAGATACAAGATACAAGATACAAGAGATGACAGATAAGAGATGAGAGAGAGACAATGAAAGAGAGAAGAGATAAGAGAAGAATCTATTCGATTCTCACAGTCGGTTTTTCCTTTCTTTACTTTAGCTGGCTACGATCTAAAGTATCTACAGCGAACGGAGGTTCAGCCCCTGGAACTGGCCCGTCAACGCTTTCCCCGCCCTGAGCTATCCGAGCTGGTGGAGCTGCTGCCCAGCGCGTTGTCCTTCCTGTTCGTGCGCGATCCCTTCGAGCGCATCCTTAGCGCGTATCGCAACAAGCTTGAGGGCAACCGGAACAGCTTCTACAAGGCACTCGGCACCAAGATCGTGCATCGCTATCGCCGCCGCAGCCTAAACGTTGCCTTTCCCCGTTGTGGACCCACCTTCGAGGAGTTCGTGCGCTTTCTCATCCAGGAGCATGCGGCGGGCAATCGCTTCGACGAGCACTGGGCACCCGTGTACAGCTTCTGTACGCCGTGCAGCGTGAACTTTACGATCATCGGAAAGACAGAGACCTTTCAGCGCGACTCCGAGTTTATCATACGGCAGGCGGGATTGGAGTCGTTGCTGTTGGGGAAGCTGCCACGGCGCAAGCTGCGTAAAATCGGGAATCAGGCACGCAGCGGCGTCAAGTCGGAGGAGCTGGTCGAACGCTACTTTGGTGAACTCGATCGCTCAACATTGGACCAATTGCTCAATATATATCGCATCGACTTTGAGCTCTTCGACTACGACTATCTCAAATATTACAATATGGTGCACTCCTGGAGCTTGGAGCAGAGTCCCACAGCCCCACAGGCCAAAAGCGGCCCGCGAGCAGGCACCGATGTGCTAACCACATCGGCGACCTTATCTCTAAGAACAGCTGCTGCTCCTGCAGCATGAATGGATCGATGAATAGAGGAATGAATAGAGATTAAGCCAGGCCAAAAGTATATAGCTCATATTCGCGATAAGAATCTTATTTATGTACCTTTATACAGAGATGGATCAGTAACCGTAACCCAACCGAAACTATATGTATGTAAAACTATATGTATTTATTCTACCACTGAGTAAGGCCAAATCAATGTTTTCCAACAACCACCAAACGAATCACGACAATTTTCGACCTCTCTTGGGCAATGCCAATGCAAGGAAAGCAAAAACCAAATGTAGATAGAATGACTAATTTTTATGCATTTTTCAGAAGTCGCCAAAGTACCACCACACCCACACCCACTCACACACACACACACATACACATTGAAACCTTAAAATTTCCAGAGTTTTGCATCTTTTTAGATGGCTCTTCTAGTTAGTACAAAGTACAATTTACAGTTAATACGAATCGAACTTCTGACATACACACATATTCTTTACCACACCTACGACCTCTATACAAATATCTCGCCTGTTGTTTTTGAAAACGAACAATTTTATGCAAAAACCAAAAAGAAAGACATATTTACAAATATATATAGTACATATATATATACAGTATATACATAAATATTTACAAAAAAATATTTACAACCTCGTCACCTTCCCTCTAACTATAACTCTAACTTTAAGATTCAAAAACATTCTTAAATGTATGTAAAGTTTTCTTCTCTTACATACACACACACACATATATATATAAATTCATACATACAAATGTACATATAAGTACATCGGGCATATGCACTTACATCTATGAATTTTATAAACAGGTCTTCATCAACGTTTTTACCTTTTGGGGACTGGATGGGGTTTTTCCTAATCTAAAAAAAATCTAAACCAAAGAAAATTTAAAAAATATACATATATTATAATTATAAATTTTTGGTAACTGTGTCCAAATAAACCCAAAAAAAAGAATAAAATAAATAAAAAATAAATAAATAAATAAACCGACAGCGAAAAACAAATCTGCAAATATTTACAGTAATAGAAAAAAAAAAACAAAAAAAAACTATAAACTTTTCATGTGATGTTTAAAATTAACATATATACACACATATACATGTAAATACTATACGTATATAAATAATATTTAAAATGAAAAAATACAAAAAAAAAAAAAAAACCTTTACTATCTATACTTATTTTGGATTGTATTCCACATATATATAACAGACATATATGTGTATATATATACATAACTGTAACCAAATCGTGCAACAAACTTTAATTAGGAATCAACGATATTATTCCACTTTTTTCGTTGCGAACCAAATATAAATCTTAACTAATAAATGGTTTTTCATTTCTGGTATCGGATTTTCAGGAGCTGACTTCAGAAGATTGCTATGCCCAAGATTTTATTTTGATTATTATTACTAAATTGTTTTCTACAAAGGCAGGCGTCTGTATTAACTTAACTGTGTGGAACTCTAAGACATTGGAGTATAATGATAAAATTGGAGGGTATATTTGAAAAAAATAATGCGCTTATGGACGGATTTAAAATGATCCCAATCAAATTGAACTGGCGATTGCTACATTTTGCATATTCTACGTTTTTGTTTCAGTAATTTGTTTTAATAAGGGAAAAGAGATTACACACAATCAATAAACTCATTTTTACTTATTGAATGGATATAAAACATTAAAATATATAATAATAAATTAAATAAAATAAATTACCTTAGAGTTTTCTTCGATACTACATTTATTTAGTTCACTTTCACTTAATCGTAATGAGTTACACAATCGTCAACTCCTATTAAAACCCATAGATGCAAGAATCCGTTTATTGGCTCGATTTATATACCTAAGATACCACTTTCTAGACACTAATCTACTTCGAGTGCCTGTCCTTTAGACAGCAATCTTCAGCATTACCGAAATATATAAATCATAAAGGCTAACATAAGAGACAAGTCGTTCGCCATTTTAATGGTGATTATTGAGAGATTTCTTTCATCGTCATGGTACTTCTCCCCCATCATAACTCTGGCAAATTCTTCCAAGTACTGTAGCTCTCGCGGTCCAGTATATACCTCCACCTTCTCGCCATTCCGGAGCCAAGCAATGTGTGGCACTTGCGCGACATTGAAACTCCTGCAAACTGCCGCTGAGGCCAGACAATCGACCTCAGCCACACATATGTCATTTCCTTTCATCGCTTTAGCCAGCGCTATCCACGTGGGTGCCAGTTGGTTGCAGTGGACGCATTTGGGTGAATAAAATTTGATGAAAAACACTCCAGATGCTACGGTCTGCGTAAAGGTTCCAGAAGTCAAGTGGTAAACATTGCCTGGCTCACACAGTAAAGCATCGTTGGAGTCACGGCCCACGAATTCTCCGCCACTATTGTGGAGCCCCAAGGACTGCTGCAACGTTTGCAGATTGAGTGATCCGTCGATGAATCTGTGCTGCTCTCCCTTCTTTTGGAATATGCCCACAGTTGGATATTCAGTAACATTCAGCTCATGGCAAAAGTTCCCATGCTTGATGCAGTCAAGGGTTCCAACTGTGATATTCGTATTCGATCCGGCTTCCAGGATGGTGAGAAAGTAATCCAATTCTAATCTCAAGGAAGCACAGCTTTTGCAATTGGGCACATAGAACTCAACCAGGAAAGTCTGATTATCTGAGGAGCTCTTGAAACTGTCAGGATTCAGTGGAATCAGCCATTGCCTCTTTGGAAATTTTGCTTGCACGACCAGGGATGCCAAGATGAGAAACGTAATCAAGCACATGCCGGTTTTACCTAACATAATTTTACAATTTAACTAGCCTCTCACACAAAACTCAACGGCATCTATACAAATTCAATTTGAATGTGCCCGACGCTTGAGTTGCCCGAAATCCGATGAGGAGCACCGATGAGATGGGTTGACTTTAAAGGAATTCGTAGGCCACATTCAGGGACTTCAGTAAAGCAAACGATGCGAGATTGCCATTCCATAACTGTATTTTCATTTGGCCTTAAATCTGCTTCATAGAAATGGATTCAATTTTGGATGAAATGAATTTTAATTGTTCATACCACACCCGAAATTATATCAATTTTCCTCTCAACAAAATCCCAGCTAACTAAGCTATAGGTTTATTCAAACCCTCATATACACGGAGTCTATCCGACATTAATAACAGCAATCGCAAAGAATTGGAATAGATTATTAAATATTTCTTACCAGATTGAATCGCGTTGGTATATCTGTTATACTGCAGACAGGGTATGCAATAATAGTTCAAGTATTTCTGATCAGAACAGAGCTTTATTCAGCTATCATCCATCATCTAAGAGCCTATTATAATACTTTATGAATAATACTTTATAATACTTTATGCATGGGTCTGGGTATATAAACCTAGGCGCAGAAGAATAAAGATCAATACGAAACTAAACACCATCATAGTCAAATGTATTCGTTCTGTGGGTTCATTGCTACCAATGCCAAACGAACCTTATAACTGCATCCCCACTCACTTATAGTAAATTGGTTATTTTGTATTAAAGTACAAAATATTCCTTAGAAATAATGTATATGGCAAAGCAACGTTTGTCGGGTCAGCTAGTATGTATTATATAATTCATGTTCATAAATATTCCATACGACTTTGAGTTATATCATTATAAAGAGTTTTATTTTCATTGATCAATAAACGTAAATATATATATATTTTGAAATTGTTTATGTGTATCCAATCATAATAATGTTGCATGTATATAGCGACAACTGTATATACAATATATTCATACATACATGTGTATGTGTGTGTTGCCATAAAACTACTTACAGTGTTGTAAAGCGACATTCGCATGGGAACAATAAAATATCAAGATATATAAATATATATATATATATATATAGTAACTGTATGAGTGCTGCCCAGGGCAGCGCTTCTTAAGCTTTCACACGAATACAAGCGTTCAGGGTGTCCTTGGCAAGGATCGTCTCACAATTGCCCGTTGGATAAACATACCGATAATACTTACTACAAACATCAATAAATATATATATGCAAGCAAGCAGGTGTGCGTATGTATGTGTGTGTGTATCACCTATGTGTGTGGTATAGCACTAACAAGAATAATAATTGAAACAGAGACTACATTAAAATTGCGAATAATTATTGAATAATGTTTTCTGTGCCAAAACTCTAGTCGAAATATGTTGGAAAAAGTTAATGTTTTAATCTCGTATTTTAAGTAATTGTTTATATAGTATTTGCTTTGTGATCTGTGTAATAAATAGACTTAACGAACTATCAACTAAATACAATAGTTTTATATAACGTTTATCGCTTAGAATTCTATGCCTATTTACAATGATAATTTAAGAAAATATTTCTACAATGCTCCGACACAGCAGAGGAAAATCTATAATAGTATGGATAATTGATATATATGTATTTATATATATATAAGCTGAATAATTATGTATATGTACAATAGTAAATACTTAGAAAGTTTTTCGATTAAATAATACATACATACATACATACGTGTATGTGTGTGTGTGTAAGGAAACTTAGAGAACAACAATGGGTTAACGCATACGATATAAGGTTTTCTTTAAGAGATACATTTATAACAAATTGGTACAAGTTCCAAATAATTTGTAAGTGACTGAGTCTTCAGTATGTTCATGTGTATGTGTGTGTGGTATATAGATCTAGATATATATATATATTCTTGTACGCATGACAAACAAAAGATATTTCAAAATTCAGTTAGTTTTTAGCTTTAACGATTGCCCAACGATTCGGGCCTCCGCTCAAAGCGAGATCTATACACTTGGCTTGGCACCTTTAAATATTTCTGGGATCATACGATTACACGAAACTCTACACAAAATTATCGAAAAATATGAAATAGAAACGAGTCGAGTTGTAGTCATGTAGGAGTACATTGAAATATACATATATACAACTCGCAACTGTGTACATAGTACATAGATATATATATATATATATATATATATATATATATATATATATATATATATATATTCTTGTGTGCTCGCCGAGTCCTCCTTCTTTTTCCTCTTCATTCTCTTTTACAGCCACGAAGTGCAATCCAATTATCTCAAACCAAAGTCTCTGCCTTTACAAATATTTGTCTGTCTCTTCGCTCTCTCTCCTCCAGTACGAATCCGTTTATCATCTATATCATCTTCTAGTCGCCGAGTATCATCATGCTCTTAATGCTGGCCACCTCGGACTCCAGTCGCTCCAGCTGGCTCTTCAGCATCTGATCGCGCTCCACATTGGAGACGACGGCCACCGAGACGACAGCCTCCTTCGGGGCGAGCAGCTTGCGCTGGAACTGGGCCGTCCACTCGGCACTGCCAATCGAGATGCCCGAGTCGCGCTCGTCACTGGAGTTGTCACCGCCATCGTTCCACGCCGGCGGCGAGGAGCGGTTGCAGCTGGGCTCCTGCTTGATGTGCTGCAGCGAGAGCAACGCCGTCGCAGCCGCATCCTTGTCGCCCAGATGCGATTTGTGGCGCAGCTTCAGGGGCAGACAGTTGTTGGCCTCATTCATGCCGCCACCGCCATTGTGCGCTGGGCTGCTGCGCTGCATGGGCGCCAAGTGGGCGCCATGGGCAAGCGCATGCGGATCCGGATGGATGGCGCCTTCGGAGCCATCGTGCTCCTGCTCATCGTCGCCAGAGACGGCACCCGACGAGGAGGCGGACGATGAAAGGGCTGAGGAGGCGGATGAGTGATGGGACGTCAAGGATGTGGTCGAGGACAGCATGTGCTCGTAACTGGGTGAGCAGGCGCGCCTCGACAGATTCAGCACACTGGCCGCGGCCGAGCTGACCACCGATGAGCAGGAGCTGCTTACTGCGTCGACCGCACTGCTGCTAACGGCGCCCTCCACGCTGTGACCGTGCAGGTAACTGGCCTCCAGCTGATCCTTGCTGATGGCCACATAGCCAGATGCTGGCGAGGATCCATTCACTGTGGCAGGCGTATATATTGTGGTGCCTGCCGGCGTGCCAGTGCCCACCGCAGCTGCATTGTAGAGAGCCCCGACGGCCACCACCTTGCGCAAGCTGTCCAAATCCTCGGGCCTGACGTTGCGATGGAGTGCCTGCTGGAGCACATGCAGATTGGCAATGGCGTTGGTCGGCGGGCGGTTGTGCGTATCCATTGTGGAGGGGGCAGCATCCTGCACCTGCTGATGATGCGACTGCTGCAGCTGCTGCTGCTGCTGCTGCTGTTGCTGCAGCTGGTGGTACTGGTGTGGATGCGGATGAGCCTGAGCATGGAGTGGCGCCGGCGGCGGCGGACCGTGCTGGCCCACGTGATGTCCTCCCTTATTGCTTACGGATGTCAACGGCTCGCTGCCGCGAGCATTGCCCGCATTGACATTACTATTCGGGCCATAGATGATGGGGGAGAGCGGCGGGGCGTTGTTGCTGCTGCTGCTGTAGCCGCTGTGTGTGTGCGAGGCCGGGGAGCTGCAGCCGGCGCCGGAGGGCGACGAGCCCGACGAGGAGGAGGAACACGAGTTACCGCTGCTCAACTTGGCGCGCTTTGTATTGCTCAGCACCTGCTCGCTGGTGGGCAGCGAGGCGAGAATCTTCTCCACGCTCACCAGATTCTCGCCGGAGATGTTGAATTTGTCCCGAATCGCATCGAGCTGCGCCTTGAGCACATGGTTCTCCTTGGTCAGCTCGATGACGCGCTGCTCCAGCACCATGTCATTGTAGCGTCGCTTCTCGCGGCTACGCTTGGCCGCCTCATTGTTGCGCCGCCTGCGGTCCCAGTAGCTCTCGTCCTTCTTGTTGTCGGGCGTGAACTCGCGCTGCTTGCGCTGCGAGAAGAGCTCCTTCTGGGCGGCGGTCAGCGTTGACTGCGAACCAGCTCCTCCTCCGGCGACGCCGTTGCTCTGTCCATTAGATTTGCCCCCCATCAGGCTGTGGCCGTGACTGTCTGCGTAGCCGTTGCCCGGCACAAACTTGCCCAGGCTGTGGCTGTGGCTGTCCGACATGCCGCTGTCGTTCGACTGTGGGCTAATGGAGCCGCCGTACATGGAGAGCGGATGCACTGTAGCCGAAATGAGGAATGTTATAGTGAAGAAGATATCAACTTAGTTTCAGGTTTAACTTACGATTTGTGGCCTCGTTGGAGCTGCCGTTCATCGATAGCGACGGCGAAATGGTGGCCAAACGCACGCTGCTCATCATGGAGGAGCTTACGGATGAGGCTTTGTTGTGGCTATGGGTGGGTGTTCCGGCGAGCACCTCGGGCATTGCCGTCGGTGTCGTGGCTAACAGTACTTGAACGAGCTTTGAATCCTGCACCTGCTCCTGCAACACTCGATTGCTAATCCTCTCTTCCAGCTTCTGTTGCTGATTGTACAGCTGGTGTTGCTCCTGCTGCTGTTGCTCGTGCTCCTGCTTCAGATTTACAACTGCAAAGAGAAAATCAAGAGCTGCGATTAGTAAAGGGCTCAAGAACAAAATAATTAGCTTTTTTACTTTCATAATTAGAGAAAACTACAAAAAAGAGAGTAAAATAATCAAATGGATTTCAAAATAAATAAATGAAATATTATTCTATATCAAATACTATACCTATTCAAATAATAAATAAAATAAGTAAATATTTATAATTATAATCATAAACACATAATAAACATTTTCATTAAATATTATTTACCTTATAATTCAATATTCTAAAACGTAATTAATTGTATGTATATTATATTAAAAATGTATTTTTAGATTATTCAGAATTACATTATACTATACCAATAGTCAGTTTAAAACGTAATTAATTGAATCTATATTATATTATTGAATCATTATTAAACTAATATTCGCTCATACTTAACACTCAGTTTTGATTGATATCTGGTAGCAAAGTTTTACTGTTTATTGGCCATATCTTATCGCTAACTTGGCAATAATCGAATTCGCAGTGAATGTGTCAAAACAAAAGACTTTGCAGTCAAACGCCACACAGTCTAATGCGATCTTGTCTGGCCAATCAGAAGATACACGCAAACACACACACACACCTATATGCGCACACGCACACACTCACACCCATTTGTGGGCATGTCTGCTTGGTCTTTCTTTGTCTGGTCCTTGGCCTTGGCTTGCCCTTACAAAATAATTACGCACACAATTACGTTCCGAGCGCAAAGAACCCACTCGAACCTAACGTATTTCTATACTGTATATGTATGTATGTATGTCGCGCGTATGCACATTTGCTTTCATTTTTAGTGCGGCCATCCATTTACACAATGATTACGGCAAATGATGCAAGAATCAGCGAATTAGACGACAGCACAAGGAAAGCGCAAACAAACACACATACAAACTTACATACATATATAGACGCTCGCATGCACATCGAGACACACACACACACACATGTAAATAACAATGGCAAAGGCAACGTAAACAAGAAATCACACGGCGAGATTGGTCGCTCTTCTATGTGTTTGTGTGCTGCCGCTACCGCTGTTGCCGTTGTTGTTGCTGTCACCTCACCCTCACCGTGACCATCAAATTGGCATTTGCAGTTCAATGCGCTACAACACACACAAACACATACACTAAAATACTAACACAAACGCGCTTACATTTATTCTCGTCCCCATAAACTGGCTACTCACGTCAGCAGCCAGACGCTGCCAACGTCGCAGCCGCCGGCAACCCCTACGACTCCTACGCCAACAAATAAAGGCAACAGACGACGACCACGACGACGACGGCGACGCTGCGCTGCTGCAGTCGCTGCCTGTGTCGAAATTCACAAAAACAACATGACTAAGCGCGCTGCTGCTGCGCTCTCACCTCCATGCTCTCTATCTTCTCCTCTCTCTTTATCTAATTCTCTTTATTTTGCATGAGTTCTGTTTTGCGTTGTAAACTAACAAAATTTAGTTTTGTTTTGAATGGGTTCTTGTTTTGTTTTTTGTGTTGTTGTATTCTTGTTGCACTTACATTGTGCTGTTATATTTGTTGCTGATAGCGTAGCGTATTGCTTATAACAAGTGTTGTTGTTGCTACTGCTGTTGATGATGACGTTGTTGTTGTTGCTGTTTTTAATGTTATTATTTTGTTCTATGCTGCCGTTGTACAGTTTATCCGCGTATATTTCATTCCTTGTATTGTTGTTTGCTTTGAGTATAAACAAACTTTTCGCTGTTGCAGTCTCTTGAAAAATGTTCACTTTTTGCTGTAGTGGTGCAACTATCGACATAATGTTTCATGTGCCTAATCACAGTTAATTATCCAAGCAGCGCAAATGCTGTTCATGTTGCACTTTTCGCACAGTTTCGCATTTCGATCAGAACCGCAATAAATTCTGATGCAATTGCACTTGAAAATATGACAAATTTATTTCCGAATTCAGAAAAGTTTGTATTTATTATGCGTATGTTTATTCACGTTTTCTTTAGTACCGATCAAACTGTTCTATTTTGTTTTAAACAATATTTTAGGTCTTGCTGTTCTTTGTTTTGCTAACGGTTCTTGGTAGCGGTTTCACTGACTTAGCTGTCTGGGACTTTTTATCAGTAGAGCAGCCGATTGCACTTCATTCAAAATATGACGCGACTCGCGAGCGCATCCACAACCGCTTCGAACGAATGCTGAATCGCAATTGAATTTGTAAAAGCATTTCACTCGGCAGCCGCAGTCCAATACGTCGCTCGGTCACGTTGCCGCTGCACGCAGTAGCGACACGCGACTGCTGCCGAACATCGAACCGAGGGCCGAACATGTTCGAAGCTCAACTCGGCCGTACAAAAGCATTGGTAAAAGTGAAATTTACCTGCTTCGATTCTGGTTGAACACATACACTCGCACACATTCACACATACATACACATGCGCGCGCTGCCTGTTGCGCGCTCCAAGTTGCAACCGATCACATTTTCTGTACACTCCATAGTTGAGTAATCAGCGTCAATCTCAAATCGTTTAGAGCTGCACATTTGAAAACTAGAACGTGACTGTGCCGTGTGCCGTCCACTGGGTGTCTAACGGGACGCAACGGGGACTGGGGGTGGGGACGAGCGAGCGACGATGACAGTGATAAAGACGGAAGGTGTTTTATTGGAATATTGCGTTGCAATACGTACTTACATATGTGCATACATATGTAGGTATATACAGGCATGTCTATGCATGCATATTATTCTATATTCGTATGTGAGTTGGTGTGCGTGTGTGCCAAATGCTTTGTGGTGACGCAAGCGCCTTACACAGAACACCTAAAGAACAACAAGTCAATGTTGTTGAGCTAGTAGGTACCCTGTAAAATGTATGAATAGCTTAACATGTGTACACACACACAACCACACAAATGCATTCTAGTTAATATAGTTATCTTTAATAATCAGGGGCAAGCACAATGTGGTTGAACTAGTAGAATCTCTGTAGTTAGCGATTTTGAGCGTTTTACACAAGCGCCTTACAATGTTGCCGAAGCAGCTGATACCCTATAAAATGCATAGTTATTTCTACATACATTAAATATTCACACCCACTTACATACATGCTTGCCTACATTAATCTACACAATTACTTTCAGTAATTCTAATCAGATTATAGGCTATCTGTTAGTCGCCCATTTAAAAATACTTCAATAATCGGGAACTGTTTTTAGCTGTCAAACATATCTATATCTAATTTTCCTCATTATTCTATTAGGCAATTACTAATCAGCCAAAATAATAAATCCAATAGGAACCGGCAATCTAATAAGCTTGTACGTTAAAGGACAATCAAATGACAGCAAATCAATGAATTAATGCATACTCAACTATCAGTGATAAATGTTGATTGCAAATAGAAATAAACAAACACTGCGAATTATATAATTATAAATTATGTTTACATTGATAATCGCTGTTGTGCCTTATCAGACCCTGTCTAGAGGACTTTTGCGCACAGTCAGCAACAAAGTTGCGAAAAAGGGGGGAGAGCAGAAGTGTGACTAAGACAATAATATATATAAATATAGTAAAATATAAATATGTATGTATACATAAATATATTTACATATATATGCCTGCTACACACAGGCAGCAAAATCCAATAGGAAATTGCAGTGCCGAAGGTCATGGGCGCAAGCTGACCAATAGCAAATACTTAGCAGATATGATGTAAGCTCTATAAGTTTGATTGACTGCTTGACTGACGAACTGAATAAATGACAGTTAGATTAGGCGACGTGCTATAGGCCCCTCAATGCATAATTGTAAATTCTAAGAAATTCTAGTATTAAATAAATACTCAAAGGAGATAATGAATTTCTAAGTGTGTGTGTGTTTGTGTGAATGTTTCTACCGATATGATCGATATTAAAACAAATAGGGAAATAACCAATAAAAGGAAATAACCAGAAAAAGCGAAGTTGGCGATTGATAAGCTAAAGCATACATATACATACATGTATATACCGCTAATATTTGGAAGAAAAAAAATAGAAGAAACTAAGTAAAAAAATACTTTTTAATTTATTAAAAAGATACAACATTAAAAAAAATTTAAAACATTTATAAATTTTGATATATGTATGCAGATTAAAAAATAAATAAATAAAACAAAAGAAAATTTAAATAAAAATATATAAGACAAAACAAATTTGAATGTATGTGAAAATAGAAATAGAAAAATAGATCAAATAAAAAGTATTAAAATTAAAACAAAGGGATATTTTAAAATTTAAATTTTCACAATAATTTTACGAGAAACAATTAATAATATAATGATAATAAATAAAAATAAATAAATAATAATAATAAAATAATAATTTGTTTCTGTTTTTTATTTAAAAGAAAATCGAAACAAAAGTATATACATACATATATACATATATAGAAGGCAGCTTCGAACAGCGAACATGTTGTGATTGAGTCGAGTACAGAGCGCAATAAGAACTGCAGATCCAATTAGAATGTGCGCTGAATGTGAATATCAACTTTTATATATATGTATATATGCATATTTGTTAAATGTGAATATCAATTTTGTTTGTATATATGTGTATGTATATGCACATTAGTTGAATTTAATTTACATTTAACTCGTTTTAACGCAATTCTTAAGTCACGTTTATATATAGTAAGCATTTGCACTGACATATTTAACATTGTTATTAGATAAACATTCGCAAATGACTTTTGCGATTACATAATCACATCTATATTAATATGTTTATTCATATAGTTTGCCTTGTAACGATTAATAACTGTAAGTAAACAGTTGGCTGCGACATTTGAATGCGATGAAAATACATTTGAAAGCGCGCCCAAAGTGCGCTGCAAAGGTAAACAATCAAATCAAAGACTCAGCCTCGGCTAGCAGATACCCTTAGGATGCATAAATTCAAGTCGACTGACTGACTGACTGACTGAGTGGCCAACTGCCCGACTGAGTGGTTAAATAATTCACTTGATTACAAGATCTATTCCCATTGCAGTTCCAGTTTTAGTTCCAGCTGCAGCTGCTGCCGCTGCCTCTGCTGCGTCTGCTGCTGCCTTAACTGTAGCTCGAGCAACAGGTACACGTGAATCCCGTCTCTCACGTGGGCCGTGCAATCGCGCCATTTACGTTTGCCTTGCCAACTTGAGCGCATCTAAACAGCATGCCCAGAGAGAGAGATACAAAGAGAGAGAGAGAGAGAGAGGCAGTGAGTTTCCCAGCCGAAATGTCAATCCGAATCCCAACTCGAAATGATCTAATAAGCATATGCTGTTGCTCAAATCACATGTCTAATCAGCAAAATATGCGCTTATTGGTTAAAGCGCAGGCGGTGCACACGACATGCGGGCTATGCTCACGTTGTATTTGGTGAGGGTGATGGTGAGAGAGGTGCGTGGGGCGTAGGGCGTAGGGCGTAGGGCGTAGGGGTGGCAGTGGGGGTAGCTGTGAAGAGGTTGGGTGGGGTTGCTTATAAGCTGTTACACTACTGCTGACTACACTGGCTACACTTGCTCAGCTCCCCTCCCCTGTCTGAGTGAAAAAGACGTCAGATTGTTACGAAACAACGCCAACGCCAACGTCAACGTCGACGTCGACGTCAAAGCCAGCAGCGCAGAAGCAACAACAACGTAATATTAGCTATCGACAGTAAACGGCTGTACGGCCGCTCAGCCATCAGTTAGCTAGCAAATGTTGCTCGCCCCCGCCACACCGCACATCCCCCCGGCCAACACCAACACAAAGAGGGTTGTCAGGTTATAGCAAAGCGAATGAGCTATTTATACTTGATACTGGACGGACGCTAGCGCTGATCACGTGTCGCGAAATGTGCAGCCGACAGTGCAACGCTCCCGCGAGAACGGCTCACATGTTCGCGACTCGAGTCCGCTATGGAAATGAGCGTGTTGCCTACTTTTTGCGCTTGATTTAGAATTGTTATTGTCGCTGTTGTCGCTGTTATTGTTGCTGTTTGTTGCTGTTGTCAGTCTCCTTCTTATTCTTATTCTTATTCTTATTGTGATAGCAGCGTGACGAAAAGTGCTGAAATTGTGTATATTGGTTACGCTGCTACAGAGAGAGAAACGTTCGACCATGGCTGGAGCAAGCAATCCAATTGGATCTGATCAGCTTCGCTCCAACACTAAATGTATTCTTTGCGTGTTGGGGGGGGCAGGAGAAAAATTTAGTGAGAGTGCAGCTGTTGATTTTACAATTATATAAACATTTAGTTCGAGTCCAATTGGATTGCAACTTCATTGAGAACAATTCAAGGAATTCTCTTTACAAAGAGAAGATTTAGTTAGAGTGTCCAAATGAAATATTTTTTTGTCAAATTTACGTTTGAAGAGAATTTGAATATTAAGATCATAATATAATTAGAAGATCATAAGATGAAAATTGGAGCATAATTCAAATAAAATTCTATTAAAAATGAAATTGAAAAATTAATGAGAATACCGAATAGGGTAATACTAAACCATATTATGGTTATATACAATTTCCATGAATATTATTTAAATAAATATTACTTAAATATCATTATATTTATATGTGTTTTACATAAATAAAAAAATTAATAAGTAATTTAATTTAATTTAATTTTATATGAACATATTTCGTAGGAAAAACATTTCTAAATATTTCTATATATGTATTTTACATAAATAAAATAAACTATATGATTAATTTAAATTAAATATTTATATGAATATATTTCGAAGGAACAAAAGTTTTTTTTAGATTTATATTTGAACTTACATTACTATACAAATAATATGTTTAACAAATGTATATTTAACGTAAAAAATTATGAAGGGAAATTTAGTCAAATATATATAAAACTAGTTGAAAGAAAAAAGGTTTTAAAGAACTTTTTTTCATATATATAATTAATTATTTTAATTTAAAAATAATTAGTGAATTAAAAATAAAAGTTTTACGTATACAAAATAATAAAAAAAAGTATAAAAAACAAATTAATAATAATAATAATCAATTAATATATGTAAATATTTTCTAAACCTAGGCGCAATTATTTACAGTGTAAAAATTATGGGCAAACAGCAAAAACTGGAGAAACAAATTATTTAAAGTTTTTGACTCACGCTGCAATCAACTGAAATTACGAGAATTTTATTATGCATTCAGCTTTAAAAAATTACAAAATCGAAAAAGCGAAAATAAGAA